CTCTTCTTCAGTGAAGGGAAAAACTTTTTTTACTCTTAACAGTATTTTGAGCATTTGAAATGTATTTATTCTGCCTATATTTTAGGAAAATCCCCGATGTTATTAATGTTCTTTTGCAAATGCTGAATGCGTTTTGACTTCAATATCATTTTCAATAGAACATTGCAGTAGTTTGGGGAACTCCCAGAGTTTGAAAAGTCAGATTTGTGCTCGTAGAACAGCACTTCAAATGAGGAATGCTTTTGTTGGTCTGGGCTGGAGAAGGGGGCAAGCAAGTCATCCCCTTTTGTTAGAAGAAGCTTTGCCAGAGACTAGGCCTACTTCCTTTTGTTGTTCCAACTGGGATCCAAAAGGTATATCATAACCCAGCTTTCTGCTTTGATAAAGTGCATGCAGCCTGTGACTTGAAGCTATGCTGTACATAAAAATCCTAAGTTTCAACTTAGAAGTCAACAGATATCCAAAGAGCATCATGAGTTGAAGCACAGATTTCTGTTTGGGAGGCTGAAGAAGATTCAACATGCTTCTTCAGATTACTTCAGAATTTTAATGTACATATTTCTGTATTTCAGCTAGCCCCTGTTACTCTGTTTATTTCTAGTAACTTAATGATTTTAAAAAAACCCCTAGGTGGCAGCCTTTACGATCTTCAACAGTAAAATTTATAATAGATGTTTAAATTGTATTTAAACCCCATTTTTTAAATAACAAAGACTTACTCAAGGAAGCCGGTGTCAAGATTTAACTCAGGTTTTGATGAGCTTTTTTGATATTTACATGTGCCTGGTAAAATTAGAAAACCTGCTTCAGAAATTTCAGGAGAAGAATTCTGTTCAGACTTACCCGAAATATTAGAGAAAATTTAGTCTACTATGGATGAGGTAGCAAAAACATGTAAATCTCAAACTTGAGTGGATAAACCACATTGTTGCATGTACAGATTGTGTAGCTTTACCATGTTGACAAGTTGTGGGCAACCACCACCTGGTCTACATGCTGAATGTAGATTGTCTTAGCAAGACAGAAAGTACACCTACGCTGAAGGTGCAGTAAGCATACCTAAGGGAACCCAGATATGAGAAAATACTACCCTCAGCAGCACAGAGCTCCTCAAGGACTATGTCATCAGGCGCTTAGCATGCCTAGCCGAATTTCTCCACAAGGAGCTCTTCTCTGCTGACCTTAGGCTGTCTCCTGTGCGTGAGCTGCCATGGTGACAGCTAGCTGTGAGCAATCTAATTCATGATTCTTTCTATCCCAGGTTCTAGTGTTGCTAACACACACTGTGATACATAGAGCAGATATATCTGTAAATGAACGAGTCTCTGAACAGAAATCTTCCTTCTTGAGTCTGACACTCTTAAAACTTTAACAATCCCTCAGTTTACTGTAGAGTTCTGTTTCAGTGTCCAGGTTGAATGTAGGATGGTACTGCAGACGATCAGCTGTTAACATCATCACCAATTTTGTTAATTTTGGGGGGCAACAATAGTTTTCTAAAGACAGGGTGGCCCTTGCCATTGCTGTGTTGTTGATATCAATTGGGAAGAAAGGCAGGAAGCTTGGGGGAATGACAGAGCACTTTTCAGGAATAATGAAATCGTATTCAGGGGAAACTTTTAAAAGAAAATATAATTATTTTCTTTCTTTTTCAGAACTGATGTTTCATGCTGAAATCGAGGAATTTCCCCAGGGAGATATCATACCCAGAGTCCAGCCATAGTGTGGAACGAGCATCTGCATATATTGTCACCGAGACTGATGGCTCAACATGTTGTGCACTATAGCCATGTATAATAACTTTCATAAGAAAAAAATGTATTTTTATATTGTATATATTTAATTTTGATCTTTTTATGTATGCTACAATTTCCAGCTGTGATTGAAAACTTTTATGCTTTTGCTTTTATTTTACAAAGTAGATTTTCTCTAGTGCATAAAGTCAAGAAGATTTTGTAAATATTGCTACCTATACAGCCAAAGAAACTAGATGGATGCAGATCAGGTATTCAGTGCTTTTTTTGACTGCTGTACAGTCTTCAACAACCTGCTTTTGTTAGTAATGCTGATAGCAGTTGGCTTACCTGATTTGGCTAAATAGAGATTAAAACAAATCTTATGAAGAAAGTAGTCTAAGGAGGATTGTAACAAAACAGAGTTAGGAAACATGAAACCCACAAAGTTAGTAAGCATAAAATAATCTGGGTTTAGTTGTCATAAGAAATGTTTGCTAGAATAAGGGATTGGATTGTCAGGGATTTTGTTTAATAATCCTTTAAAAAGGACACTTTATTTTTCTTCATCTTCATTTAGTTCTTTTGACAAAGATCTTGATGATAACAAGTTCTTTCAAGTTGATGTGAATACAAGAAACAGAAGTTTTAATGTTGCAACAGTTTGGTCAGCTAATGAATACCTAAATACATCTTTTAGTCAAGCAGGGCATTTTTGGGTTGCCAACAGGATATATGTACGTCCTGTAATTTCTTGATGATCAGGACGCATAACTATTACAAAGCCATTCACACGAACAGTGTTCTGATTTCTCCTTACCTTGTATGGCAAGAGCAACAGTGTTACTCTAAAGAAACTTGGGATTTCACAGATGTTAAAAATGTTCCTACTTCTACCTATTTTGATGGAGATTGATTTCCCCCAAAAGGATATTTGTTGGTTTGTGTTAGGATGAAACGGGAAACTTGTTCCTGAAACTACAAGAATGTGCTTACTAAAGCAAAAAAACCTCTACAGCAACCCACCTTCTACGTAATGATCTAATAGTGGCAGTTGGTGGGTTTTGATGATGATAGCCAACATTCTTTTATATTAAAGTGGCACAATGAAAGCATTGCAGATGTCAATAACTACAGATGTATTGCAAGATGAAACAGTCTCCTTAGCAGACATAGACAAGAGCTAGTTTGAAATCCATTTCTCAAGAAAGTATCACCTAAAGCCCCAAACCTATTTGTATATGTTATTTAATATGTATTGAATCTGCATTGTTTTATTTAATGTGTGTGTCTAAGTGTGGTTGTAAAGGGTGTGAAGTTGTCAGAGTTCCCTGGAGAATTACTGCACTTTCTAATAGTGAAGTTAAGAGTAGACAGATAAAAGACTTGAAAGGGGTATGTTAGAGAGCCAGTAACTTTCTATGCTGTTACCTGAGTTGCTTTAAAACAAGGATGGGAACATGAATAACTAGGGCTGCTGCCTCCCTGTTGAGGACTTGAGTTCTGTTACACCCATCTATCAAATTTAAATAATTAAAAAATTCAGTGTTCATGACATTATTTAAATATACTGTAGTAATCTTGGGGGGGAGGGAGTTGTACCCGAATTAAAAAATATTCCATAGCTGTTGGCTGCCTTCTGGGGCATTCACTTCATTATGAGAAGGAGCTGTTAACCTTTTTTGTAAGTTGTTATGGCTCATACAATATGTATGTATTTTTGCAGAACTGTAGAGCTAAATTATGGCTGGCACTGCATTGTACATTAAAGTGGAGAGATTCAGGGTGCTGTTCCCCTTCAGCGTTGCACTGGAGGTCCTTGTCATGATTTGGCTGCAGGAGATGGGGGATGAGGCACTACTTAGTATTCCCATGTAGGTTGCTACCACACTTTCTCCAGATGTGTGCTTGATTTACACAGTTTTTGAGCTGCTGAAGGTGAGATTTAATAATGGCTTCTCTTTGCTCTTTGACATTTCTGTCATCTTGGCATGGTAAGAAGTATAATTTTGCCCATAAAGTACGGAGCTTTGGCAAAACTGCTAAGGCATCACATCAGGACAGGAAAAACTTGAATAACGTCATTGCTTGGTTTCTGACATTATTACTAGGAATTGCCCTTCCAAGTATCCCTTGGACAAAGTGATGCTAGCCAAGAGCCAGATTCGTTCTCATTGTGAAATACAGTAGTTTGTTTAGATGGTTGAGCAGGAATTAAGTTAATGGGATCAATATTTCAAACCAGGCTTTCCTTTCCAGTTTATCTTTTTGGGAGGGTCTGAGTATATGCATTTTTAAATTAATTAGGTTTGAAGTTGCCATTTAAAATCACACTTAATAAACAATTTGATAGCTAATTATCTATTTTACAAAGTACTTTTCCTTCCATTAAGCTTCACAATGGAATATGAGTTTAAATGATCTTTTGTTGTTTAGTTACTTGGAAAGTTTAAGAAAAAGTTTACAAGATATATGTTTAATTACAGAACATGCAATATCTGTAGAAGCCTTAACTGAAATGCCTTTGTGCGTTTCCATACCTCTTACATGTTTTTAATGCAGTATTGTTGTGTTAATGAAAAAAATTATGAAGATGTTGGTGCCAATCTCTTGTTTTTACATATATTAAACCATTAAACAACTGCTCTAAACTAGTTAGAAATGATTGTACTACTTTTTCATGTTTTCAAATGATTAGTCTGTTTAAACCTAATTCTTTCTCCAATGCTAATATGATGTATAATATACCAGCTTTGAACAGGGAAATATGGGAAAACATTTTTTGGCAGTGTTGTAAATAATGGCTTTGCTTTCTCTCCGTCAGATTCGTGCTGCTGTACTGGTCTTCTATGCAATCAGAACTGGTAGTGTAAACTACTGAAGACGAGCAAGTGTATTTCATCAGTTAATGGGGTTTGTTTAGCCTAAAAAAGAAGAATATTAAGAGGGGAATCTAATGGCTGTCTTTAACCACCAAATGGGTGATTACAAAGCAGATAAGTCAGACTCTTCTCAAGCTGCACAGTGAAAGGATGAGCTGACATGGTCGCAGGCAGCATCAGGAAAATTATCATTAGCTACCACGGGAGTTTTGACATTGAGGATTTGGGATGGGCGGGGGGTGACACCATGGGGTCTGTCTGTGGAAGCTCCATCCCTGGAGCTGCTCTGGACTTGGGTGGAGAGAACCCTGTGCAGCCTGAGCAGGTTGGACCCAGTGGGCCTCCAGAATCCTTTCTAAGGTAAATTGTTCTTATTTTGCTTCTTAAAAGGTAGTAATTTAAAATTTGGTTAAATTCCAGTTGTTTTAAATGTTACTCTCTCAACTTAGCTTTCTCAACGTGAAGCTGGGTGGCATTAATCTGAAAAGTGTCTTTTAAAGTTTTTTTGGTATTGCTGAGGTAAACTTCAGGAGGGTTATGGTTAGGTCAGAATTATTCCCTTAAAATATCTGCAGCAGGATTAATTTAAATGACTGAATGCTTTGGGAGAATAGAGTGAATCATCAGGTATTTATGGTTAAGACTTACCTTTATCTTCCTTTTTCCTCATAGTGGTGTGGAAGGTACTGTTGTATTCCTCACCGCAGCTGTGCTTGTAATGTGTCCATAAGTCCACAGACACTTGGACAAAGTCTTTTTTGCCTGGGTGTTACTAACGTTCTGTGCCCTCCAGGGCTGCTCGCTCTCTTCATTGGGGCCTGGAGGAGAACTCCCAGCGGGGCGAGGCCCGTTGCCCTGCCGCATGCAACCGGCCGGCTGCTGCTTCTCGGGCAGGTGCTTCTGGGGATGTTTTTTTCCCTGATCTTCCCTGCCGGGGACAAGCTGTCGTCCCCTCCCCGGTCCGTGGGGACGGATGATGAGGCCTGGCCGTTCCGTACTGCCCGCCTGCACCTCAGGCCGCGAGGCGGCCGTTGGGGGGCGCTGGTGGGGCAGGCCGCGCGCCGGCCTGGGCGTGAGGGGCTGGTGTGAGGGCGGCGGCGGGCGGGAAAGG